TCTGGTAACACCAAGGTAGTTGCTTTTTTCCTCTGTATGCTTCTGGTACACCATGGTAGTTGCTTCTTTCCTCTGTGAGCTTCTGGTAACAGCAAGGTAGTTGCTTCTTTCCTCTGACAGCTTCTGGTAACACCATGGTAGTTGCTTCTTTCCTCTGACAGCTTCTGGTAACGCCATGGTTGTTGCTTCTTTCCTCTGTATGCTTCTGGTAACATCAGGGTAGTTGCTTCTTTCCTCTGTGAGCTTCTGGTAACACCATGGTAGTTGCTTCTTTCCTCTGTATGCTTCTGGTAACACCATGGTTGCTGCTTCTTTTCCTCTGTATGCTTCTGGTAACACCATGGTAGTTGCTTCTTTCCTCTGACAGCTTCTGGTAACATGCATGGTTGTTGCTTCTTTCCTCTGTATGCTTCTGGTAACATCAGGGTAGTTGCTTCTTTCCTCTGTGTGCTTCTGGTAACATCATGGTAGTTGCTCCTTTCCTCTGTGAGCTTCTGGTAACATCATGGTAGTTGCTTCTTTCCTCTGTATGCTTCTGGTAACATCATGGTAGTTGCTTCTTTTTGTGTGTATGCTTCTGGTAACATCATGGCAGTTGCTTCTTTCCTCTGTATGCTTCTTGTAACATCATGGTAGTTGCTTCTTTCCTCTGTATGCTTCTGGTAACATCATGGTAGTTGCTTCTTTTGTGTGTATGCTTCTGGTAACATCATGGTAGTTGCTTCTTTCCTCTGTATGCTTCTTGTAACATCATGGTAGTTGCTTCTTTCCTCTGTATGCTTCTGGTAACATCATGGTAGTTGCTTCTTTGTGTGTGTATGCTTCTGGTAACATCACGGCGGTTGCTTCTTTCCTCTGTATGCTTCTGGTAACATCATGGTAGTTGCTTCTTTCCTCTGTATGCTTCTGGTAACATCATGGTAGTTGCTTCTTTCCTCTGTATGCTTCTGGTAACACCATGGTAGTTGCTTCTTTTTCCTCTGTATGCTTCTGGTAACACCATGGTAGTTGCTTCTTTCCTCTGTATGCTTCTGGTAACACCATGGTAGTTGCTTCTTTCCTCTGTATGCTTCTGGTAACACCATGGTAGTTGCTTCTTTCCTCTGTAGCTTCTGGTAACTTGCTTCTTTCCTCTGTAACACCATGGTGTTGCTTCTTTCCTTGACAGCTTCTGGTAACACCATGGTAGTTGCTTTTTCCTCTGTATGCTTCTGGTAACACCATGGTAGTTGCTTCTTTCCTCTGTGAGCTTCTGGTAACACCATGGTAGTTGCTTCTTTCCTCTGTTGCCTCTGTAACATCAGCTTCTTTCCTCTGGTAACACCATGGTAGTTGCTTTCCTCTGACAGCTTCTGGTAACACCATGGTAGTTGCTTCTTGGTACAGCTTCTGGTAGCATGCATGGTTGTTGCTTCTTTCCTCTGTATGCTTCTGGTAACATCAGGGTAGTTGCTTCTTTCCTCTGTGAGCTTCTGGTAACACCATGGTAGTTGCTTCTTTCCTCTGTATGCTTCTGGTAACATCATGGTTGCTGCTTCTTTCCTCTGTATGCTTCTGGTAACACCATGGTAGTTGCTTCTTTCCTCTGACAGCTTCTGGTAACGCCATGGTTGTTGCTTCTTTCCTCTGTATGCTTCTGGTAACATCAGGGTAGTTGCTTCTTTCCTCTGTGTGCTTCTGGTAACATCATGGTAGTTGCTCCTTTCCTCTGTGAGCTTCTGGTAACATCATGGTAGTTGCTTCTTTCCTCTGTATGCTTCTGGTAACATCATGGTAGTTGCTTCTTTTGTGTGTATGCTTCTGGTAACATCATGGCAGTTGCTTCTTTCCTCTGTATGCTTCTTGTAACATCATGGTAGTTGCTTCTTTCCTCTGTATGCTTCTGGTAACATCATGGTAGTTGCTTCTTTTGTGTGTATGCTTCTGGTAACATCATGGCAGTTGCTTCTTTCCTCTGTATGCTTCTGGTAACATCATGGTAGTTGCTTCTTTCCTCTGTATGCTTCTGGTAACATCATGGTAGTTGCTTCTTTCCTCTGTATGCTTCTGGTAACATCATGGTAGTTGCTTCTTTCCTCTGTATGCTTCTGGTAACACCATGGTAGTTGCTTCTTTCCTCTGTATGCTTCTGGTAACACCATGGTAGTTGCTTCTTTCCTCTGTGAGCTTCTGGTAACACCAAGGTAGTTGCTTTTTTCCTCTGTATGCTTCTGGTAACACCATGGTAGTTGCTTCTTTCCTCTGTGAGCTTCTGGTAACAGCAAGGTAGTTGCTTCTTTCCTCTGACAGCTTCTGGTAACACCATGGTAGTTGCTTCTTTCCTCTGACAGCTTCTGGTAACGCCATGGTTGTTGCTTCTTTCCTCTGTATGCTTCTGGTAACATCAGGGTAGTTGCTTCTTTCCTCTGTGAGCTTCTGGTAACACCATGGTAGTTGCTTCTTTCCTCTGTATGCTTCTGGTAACATCATGGTTGCTGCTTCTTTCCTCTGTATGCTTCTGGTAACACCATGGTAGTTGCTTCTTTCCTCTGACAGCTTCTGGTAACACCATGTTAGTTGCTTCTTTCCTCTGTGAGCTTCTGGTAACATCATGTTAGTTGCTTCTTTCCTCTGTGTGCTTCTGGTAAGACCATGGTAGTTGCTTCTTTCCTCTGTATGCTTCTGGTAACACCATGGTTGTTGCTTCATTCCTCTGTATGCTTCTGGTAACACCATGGTAGTTGCTTCTTTCCTCTGTGAGCTTCTGGTAACGCCATGGTTGTTGCTTCCTTCCTCTATGAGCTTCCTTCTTCTGTGTCCTAGGAGTAACATCATGGTAGGTGCTTCCTTCCTCTGTGTCCTAGGAGTAACATCATGGTAGGTGCTTCCTTCCTCTGTGTCCTAGGAGTAACATCATGGTAGGTGCTTTCTTCCTCTGTGTCCTAGGAGTAACATCATGGTAGGTGCTTCCTTCTTCTGTGTCCTAGGAGTAATATCATGGTAGGTGCTTCCTTCCTCTGTGTCCTAGGGGTAACATCGTGGTAGTTGCTTCTTTCCTCGGTGTGCTAGGGGTAACATCAAGGTTGTTGCTTCTTTCCTCTTTGTGCTTCTGGTAACATAATGGTAGTTGCTTCTTTGATCGGTCTGCTAGGGGTAACATGACAGTTGATGCTTCTTTCCTGTGTACTTCTGGTAACATCACAGTCGATGCTATTTCCTCTGTGAGCTTCTGGTAGCATCATGGTAGTTGCTTCTTTCCTGTGTTCGCTTTTGGTAACATCATGGTTATGACTTTTTTCCTCTGTGCTTCTGGCAACATTATGGTTGTTTTATCAATTACTCAATGGTCTTTATTCAGTGATTTCACACTTTAGTTGTGTGTAAACATATTTCCTTTCAACTTACAATATCTGTTATACTGACATAAAATACATTATGCTCACAACATTACTTACAATATCTGTTGACTTATCTCTGCATGTTACAGCTCATAGAACCAGATACACTGATGTACAATATCTGTTGTCTTGTCTCTGCACGTTACAGCCTATAGAACCTGTTACACTGTCTTCACATGGATGTACAATATCTGTTGACTTGTCTCTGCATGTTACAGCTCATAGGACCAGTTACACTGATGTACAATATCTGTTGTCTTGTCTCTGCACGTTACAGCCTATAGAACCTGTTACACTGTCTTCACATGGATGTACAATATCTGTTGACTTGTCTCTGCATGTTACAGCTCATAGGACCAGTTACACTGATGTACAATATCTGTTGACTTGTCTCTGCATGTTACAGCTTATAGGACCTGTTACACTGTCTTCACACTGATGTACAATAACTGTTGACTTGTGTCTGCATGTTACAGCTTATACAACCTGTTACACTGTCTTCACACTGATGTACAATATCTGTTGTCTTGTGTCTGCATGTTACAGCTTATACAACCTGTTACACTGTCTTCACACTGATGTACAATATCTGTTGTCTTGTGTCTGCATGTTACAGCCTATAGAACCTGTTACAGTGTCTTCACATGGATGTACAATATCTGTTGATTCTCTGCATGCTACAGCTTATAGGACCTGTCACACAGATGTACAATATCTGTTGTCTTGTCTCCACTAGTTACAGCTTATAGGACCTGTTACACTGATGTACAATATCTGTTGTATTCTCTGCATGTTACAGCTTATAGGACCTGTCACACAGATGTACAATATCTGTTGTCTTGTCTCTGCATGTTACAGCTCATAGGACTTGTCACACAGATGTACAATATCTGTTGTCTTGTCTCCACTAGTTACAGCTTATAGGACCTGTTACACTGATGTACAATATCTGTTGTATTCTCTGCATGTTACAGCTTATAGGACCTGTGACACAGATGTACAATATCTGTTGTCTTGTCTCTGCATGTTACAGCCTATACAACCTGTTACATTGTCTTCACATGGATGTACAATATCTGTTGATTCTCTGCATGCTACAGCTTATAGGACCTGTCACACACATGTACAATATCTGTTGTCTTGTCTCTGCATGTTACAGCTCATAGGACCTGTCACACAGATGTACAATATCTGTTGTCTTGTCTCCACTAGTTACAGCTTATAGGACCTGTTACACTGATGTACAATATCTGTTGTCTTGTCTCTGCATGTTACAGCCTATACAACCTGTTACATTGTCTTCACATGGATGTACAATATCTGTTGTATTCTCTGCATGTTACAGCTTATAGGACCTGTCACACACATGTACAATATCTGTTGTCTTGTCTCTGCATGTTACAGCTCATAGGACCTGTTACACTGTCTTCACATGGATGTACAATATCTGTTGTATTCTCTGCTTGTTACAGCTTTTAGGACCCGTTATGATGTCTGAATAGATGTAATTATTTAAAATATGTTTAGCATTGTTCCCGCAATTTCTGTTACATAGACCTCTCACAACATTATAACTTAAAAGATGTATTAAACCGGCATTTCTAAAAAAAAGTTATAACTTACAATATCTGTTACAGTGACATCACATTTGGCCTCTAGCAGGAGTTGGACAATCTCAGGCTTTCCTTGGGAGGCAACATGGATTGGACAACAGTCATGCTGAAAAGAGAGTCAAGTTGAATAAAGACAGATATGTAGAGATATGTAACAATCAAGAAGAATACAGAGACAGATGTTAGTAACACTCAAGGAGACTGCAGAGAAAGATGTAACAGTTAAGGGGAATACAGACAGACATGTAGCTGTCAATGAGAATATAGAGATGGATGTAACATTAGCAAGGGGAATACAGACAGACATGTAGCTGTCACTGAGAATAAAGGGAGGGATGTTACAATCAAGGGGAATACAGACAGGCATGTAGCTGTCACTGAGAATAAAGGGAGGGATGTTACAATCAAGGGGAATACAGACAGACATTTAGCTGTCAATGAGAATATAGAGATGGATGTAACATTAGCATGGGGAATACAGACAGACATGTAGCTGTCAATGAGAATAAAGGGAGAGATGTTACAATCAAGGAGAATACAGACAGGCATGTAGCTGTCAATGAGAATAAAGGGAGGGATGTTACAATCAAGGAGAATACAGACAGGCATGTAGCTGTCAATGAGAATAAAGGGAGGGATGTAACAATCAAGGGGAATTCAGACAGACATGTAGCTGTCAACATGGTCAATGAGAATAAAGGGAGGGATGTAACAATCAAGGGGAATACAGGCAGGCATGTAGCTGTCAATGAGAATATAGGGAGGGAATAACTGTGAAAGGGAATACAGAGAGGGATGTAACAGTCAAGGGGAATACAGACAGGCATGTAGCTGTCAATGAGAATATAGAGATGGATGTAACATTAGCAAGGGGAATACAGACAGACATGTAGCTGTCAATGAGAATAAAGGGAGGGATGTTACAATCAAGGGGAATACAGACAGACATGTAGCTGTCACTGAGAATAAAGGGAGGGATGTTACAATCAAGGGGAATACAGACAGACATTTAGCTGTCAATGAGAATATAGAGATGGATGTAACATTAGCATGGGGAATAGACAGACATGTAGCTGTCAATGAGAATAAAGGGAGGGATGTTACAATCAAGGGGAATACAGACAGACATGTAGCTGTCACTGAGAATAAAGGGAGGGATGTTACAATCAAGGGGAATACAGACAGACATTTAGCTGTCACTGAGAATAAAGGGAGGGATGTTACAATCAAGGAGAATACAGACAGACATGTAGCTGTCAATGAGAATAAAGGCAGGGATGTTACAATCAAGGAGAATACAGACAGGCATGTAGCTGTCAATGAGAATAAAGGGAGGGATGTAACAATCAAGGGGAATTCAGACAGACATGTAGCTGTCAACATGGTCAATGAGAATAAAGGGAGGGATGTAACAATCAAGGGGAATACAGACAGGCATGTAGCTGTCAATGAGAATATAGGGAGGGAATAACTGTGAAAGGGAATACAGAGAGGGATGTAACAGTCAAGGGGAATACAGACAGGCATGTAGCTGTCAATGAGAATATAGGGAGGGAATAACTGTGAAAGGGAATACAGAGAGGGATGTAACAGTCAAGGGGAATACAGACAGATATGTAGCTGTCAATGAGAACATAGAGAGGGATTAACTGCCAACATGAATACACAGAGGGATGTAACTATCAAGGATACTATAGGGGAGTGGGAGGGGGGATAACTATACATGAGAATATAGACAGACATGTAATTGTCAAAGAGAATATAGAGGGGGATTAACTGCCAACGTGAATACACAGAGGGATGTAACTATCAAGGAGAATATAGGGGAGTGGGAGGGGGGATAACTTTACATGAGAATACAGACAGACATGTAACTGTCAAAGAGAATATAGAGGGGATTAACTGTACATGAGAATACAGACAGCTATGTAACTGTCAAAGAGAATATAGAGGTGATTAACTGTACATGAGAATACAAACAGCTATGTAACTGTCAAAGAGAATATAGAGGGTGGTGTAACTGTACATGAGAATATATACAGACATGAAACTGTCAAAGAGAATATAGAGGGGATTAACTGTACATGAGAATATATACAGACATGAAACTGTCAAAGAGAATATAGAGGGGGATTAACTGTACAAGAGAATATAGACAGACATCTAACTGTCAAGGAGAATATAGAGGGGATTAACTGTACATAAGAATACAGACAGACATGTAACTGTCAAAGAGAATATAGAGGGGATTAACTGTACATAAGAATACAGACAGACATGTAACTGTCAAAGAGAATATAGAGGGGATTAACTGTACATAAGAATACAGACAGACATGTAACTGTGACCAAAGAGAATATAGAGGGGATTAACTGTACATGAGAATATAGACAGACATGAAACTGTCAAAGAGAATATAGAGGGGGATTAACTGTACAAGAGAATATAGACAGACATCTAACTGTCAAAGAGAATATAGAGGGGATTAACTGTACATAAGAATACAGACAGACATGTAACTGTCAAAGAGAATATAGAGGGGATTAACTGTACATAAGAATACAGACAGACATGATACTGTCAAAGAATACAGAGGGGAGTGTAACTGTACATGAGAATACAGGCAGATATGTAACTGTCAAAGTGAATATAGAGGGGGATTAACTGTACAAGAGAATATAGACAGACATCTAACTGTCAAAGAGAATATAGAGGGGATTAACTGTACATAAGAATACAGACAGACATGTAACTGTCAAAGAATACAGAGGGGAGTGTAACTGTACATGAGAATACAGGCAGATATGTAACTGTCAAAGTGAATATAGAGGGGGATTAACTGTACATGAGAATACAGACAGACATGTAACTGTCAAAGTGAATATAGAGGGGGATTAACTGTACATGAGAAAACAGACAGACATGTAACTGTCAAAAAGAATATAGAGGGTATTAACTGTACAAGAGAATATAGACAGACATGTAACTGTCAAAGTGAATATAGAGGGGGATTAACTGTAAATGAGAAAACAGACAGACATGTAACTGTCAAAGAGAATATATAGGGTATTAACTGTACATGAGAAAACAGATAGACATGTAACTGTCCAAGAGAATATAGAGGGTATTAACTGTACATGAGAATATAGACAGACATGTAATAGTCAAAGTGAATATAGAGGGGGATTAACTGTACATGAGAAAACAGACAGACATGTAACTGTCTAAGAGAATATAGAGGGTATTAACTGTACATGAGAATATAGACAGACATGTAATTGCCAAAGTGAATATAGAGGGGGATTAACTGTAAATGAGAAAACAGACAGACATGTAACTGTCAAAGAGAATATAGAGGGTATTAACTGTACATGAGAATATAGACAGACATGTAATTGTCAAAGTGAATATAGAGGGGGATTAACTGTAAATGAGAAAACAGACAGACATGTAACTGTCAAAGAGAATATAGAGGGTATTAACTGTACATGAGAATATAGACAGACATGTAATTGTCAAAGAGAATATAGAGGGTATTAACTGTACATGAGAAAACAGACAGACATGTAACTGTCAAAGTGAATATAGAGGGGGATTAACTGTAAATGAGAAAACAGACAGACATGTAACTGTCAAAGAGAATATAGAGGGGGATTAACTGTACATGAGAAAACAGACAGACATGTAACTGTCAAAGAGAATATAGAGGGGGATTAACTGTAAATGAGAAAACAGACAGACATGTAACTGTCAAAGAGAATATAGAGGGTATTAACTGTACATGAGAAAACAGACAGACATGTAACTGTCAAAGAGAATATAGAGGGTATTAACTGTACTTGAGAACATAGACAGACATGTAACTGTCAAGAATAGAGAGGGGGATGTAACATTCAAGGAGGATACAGGGGGTGATGAAGCAGTCAAGCAAATTACAGATACTATACCAATATCTTACAGTGTAGGATCTCCAGTTTACATCAATGCCCTCCTGAATGAACTGTCTGACAATGTGTGGTCGACCAAACCCACAGGCTTCCCAAAACTCTTCTTGCTTTGATGCAGCCTGTCCCATGATAAACTCTGTAAGTAGTGAGTGAGTGAGTGAGTATAGATTTACGCCACACTGAGCAATATTCCAGCTATATGGTGGTGGTCTGTAAATAATTGAGTCTGGACCAGACAATCAAGTGATCAACAGCATGAGCATCAATCTGCACAATTGGGAACCGATGACATCCACCTGATCCTGTTAGTCGCCTCTTATGACAAGCATGAGTTACTGTCAACTTACTGAAGATCAATATTCTAACCCGCACCTTCACGGATTCTGTAAGTAGAATATATATAACATCATCATTTCTGCAAGAGGAAAATATATCATGATACTGTCTGTAGAAAGAATGGACAACATGTTACACTTTGCTCTTTCCAGTTGAGGTTGTTAGTGACACCACTAGCAATTAACTGTACACGATGCACTCTCGCCATCGATACAGAATCACCTTTTATTTTTTAATGATGTCCCATTTCTCTCCTTTCTGTCGAATTTTACTTTTGAATTCCCTTGATGGTAGTTATGTCCCATGATATGAAAACACCATGAGTTATACACTAGTCTCACTGGTAGGGAACTTGGTCACAGTGAGAGTGGAGTCTTTGTGATTTTTGCGATGGAAACTTTGCGACAAGTCACAGAGTCTTTGTGATTTTAGCATCAGTAAGGGAAGGGTAAGGTACGGTAAATGGCCTATATGCCTACAAAATCAATATTACAAGAGAGTTGAATTCACATTTACTTACATTAGGTTTCCATCAGTAACAAGTAAATACTATGATGTTCAGAAAGCTACTGATAATCACGAAATTAATCCTTTTTGATAAATAATCGGTATATTGTGACAAATGACTCCATAAAGAAGTGTAAATATAAAAAAAAGTGTTCCGATTAGGGTTTATCCCCTTTCATCATTAAGCATGTGCTGTTTTATCAGCGAAAAAAAAGTGTACACATATCAATTTCCATGCATTGGTTTTATGTCACAGAAACTTTGTGATTACGAAACTGATGTAACGGAAAATTCACTCATTGTCACAGATAATTCCCAATTACAAAATGGAGTGGACGGGGGTCTGATTCGTCCACACAAAAGAATGGAAGTTTTCTGTTAATTATGACACCCATTATATATAAATTTTGATTAGATGCTTGAAATATTGGATAAAACGTATTGGTATTCATGAAACTTCCAAAGTCTCTTATACATGTAATATGCTTTTACATTAAGACAACATCAGCAAAATCACATGGGCATCCCATGTAAGAAACCTTTTGTTCTCTCATGGTTTGGGTTTTATTTGGATGAACCAAACCATTGGAAATATCAATCTCTTTTTATATAACTTTAAAAAAATCAAGCTATTGATATGTTCTTTCAGGATTGGCATTCTACTCAAGGTATGATTGTTACAGGACTTTTTCAAGATTTCTTCAGCCTGAAATTTGTTTCTCTACTTTATATTCTAAAGACTTAAGAAATATTTTTATCAAATTTTGACTTGGTTTGTTAGATTTAATGATAAATGAAGGCAGCAAAATGTCCATAGATAAGAACAGGAGAATTTATCCATTATGTAAATCCGCAGTTGAGAATGAAATCCACTTTATGCTAGTTTGTCCATCCTACTAACTCCATTCTCAGAGGCAAATACATTCGACACACGTTTTCGTCAAAACCACCTGCTCTAGCTTTTATATCTTTAATGTCTTCTCAAAATGATAATGTTATTCTTAATTTGTCATTATTTATCAAACAGTATGAGACTAAGAAATGAACTGCTAAAACATGTAAAACACTAAATCTAAATTTTACAATTTCCTGTCATTTTGTTCTCTCCATTACGTGTATTGTATATTATTTGTATATTAATGTATATTGGTATGTGGGCCAGAGGCCTTAAATACAATAAACTCTTTTGACTTTGACTTGCCTGCAAAGAAGGAAAGGAACATATTCGGACATCAACATTGACTTGTCATGTATATATCGTAAAACTGTTAAAGCCAATTGTGAAATGTTTGTGATGATACAAAGAAAAATTCAACCTTTAATGAAGTAACTGTTTGTTCCTAATTCTCCATGAATTGGTTTTTGATGAACGTCCCTTGATGATTTAACACTGGGACCAAAAATATTCGTCATCATTCTATTCCTAGATCCATCATGATTGCTCGATTAGTTACTTAGTGACGTATTTAGCAGATGCTCAGTCACAGTAAACGAGTCCTCGTCTAATGGGTCTTTAGCACCATATCGAAGAAAATGGAAATGAGAGATATGAAAACAATAAATGGTTGGCAACGTCACGGTCAGATTTCCTACATGATGTCGGCCAATGTGAGGTAGCGTCGCATAAGATTTATTCAAGAGGCACTAGTCCAAACTGTTAGTTGTCCTAGAGGGTGCTGTGGTTTGTAATCTCTCTTCAAGTAGACCATGATCACAGACATTGGTCCAATGTTGGGCTGACGTTGCTATGCTGGTGCTGGGCCAACGTTGGGGGAACGATGTATAGCCAACATTGGCCTCACAATCAAAAAGACGTTGGGCGAATGTTGGTACCAAATGCCTTATTGCAATAAAGAGGTTGTCAATATATTCAAAGTGTTCCTCTTCATCATACCAGCTTCTAAATGTCACTAAAAGAAGCATGCAAAATGGTTTGTTTTCATTTCTCTTGGGTGCATGACTCTACGTCACACCATAACCCTAAACTCTACTCCTAAGGATCATAAAGGGTTGTTTGCCTCTAAAGACGTGTCCACCACAGGCCCTCATGTCTTTGCGAAGATTAAAGATTTAATAACAAATAATAAAAAAATTTTTTTAGATGACCCCCGACTTGAAATGCTTCACAGTACAATAGTGAGTGAGGTTGGTTTACGCTGCATTCAGCAATATTCCAGCTATATGGCGGCAGTCTGTAAATAATCGAGACAATCCAGTGATCAACAGCATGAGCATCCATCTGTGCAATTGGGAACCGCTGACATGTGTCAACCAAGTCAGCGAGCCTGACCACCCAATCCCGTTAGTCGCCTCATGCGACAAGCATGGTAATTCCCAATCACAAAATGAAGTAGAAGGGGTATGATTAGCTGCATATGTCTCTTTAACAAGTGGCGACCAATCAGAGGGCTTGCTTCCAACATACCCGTTTGGTGCAGATCTATCGTCATCCATTTATGACCAGATCATTTAACTGAGGGTCAAAATCGGCTTTCAATTGACTTGCAGAAATAAAAATAAAGAATTGGTAGTTGTGACCAATAGGCCAATCATCCATGACAAGCATGGTTTACTGAAAATCAAAATTCTAATGTTTTTTTTGAGGAACTGTGTGACAATCAAATTGGTGCCATCAGAGGTACCATTTTAATATGCACAATTTGGTTTTCAAATTCTAACCCAGACCTTCACGGGTACACAGTACAATAAATCATGATAACTTATCCCCCACAGACACACGCTGGAAGGTGGTGAAAGGGAGAATGGCCTGGTTGCTCAACTCGTTTAACATTCAGTGCCAGTCCCCCTAACTTACCAAAGGTGAGAAAGGAATTAGGAGCAGAAAGCTTCGAAAACCATGTAGGCAATCGGAAAATCAACACTTCGCTGAGATTGCTCAGAGAGTAGAGGTCAACAAGTGGAGTGTCGACCACCTCTGCATGAAGTACAAGACTGGCCTCACAGTCCTAGTTCCAGCTAGGTGAGGTGATCTATGCCCAGATATAATCCATACCAACAAGAAAGATAGGATCGATATCTTTCATTGACATAGAGAATGCAAGACTGACACGAAGGTAGGAACTGCATCTTATCTGCGTTTGGGAGCTGACGACAACAGATGCGCCAGAACCAATGGACCCAGTTGACCTTCCACGTCAGTGACAGACAGATCCCAGAGGTAGTGTGAGGTGAAGACTGTGTCCTATCTCCAAAAACAACCCTCCATGAAGGCGTGAAGGGAACAGTTTCTGTGTAGCGCCATCGTAGAGGCCAAGGCTCTCGTCTCATGAGGGTTGGCTGTAGTAGGAAAAGGAAGGTCAGCATAGGCTTAGGCACGAACGATGGTGGATCGCATCAAGAATGCCAAAGTGGTACGAGAGAAATCTGTAGATGAGGCAGTTGACAGAGGAATAAACAGTCTCTTGCGTAACCTTGGAGGCAGTTAAAAAGACCCGTAAAGTCCTGACAGGACATAGGAGAGATCCTCGGTGTCGTCAGGGCCCAGAATAGTAGACAACAGCGGAAAGGCGAATAGTCTGTCAAGCTGTCCTGGCAACTGGTTTTCGGAGATGAAATCCTACCTCAAACCAAGTAAGACTTTGGCATGTCTGGTCCTCTCGAAGCGCAACCGGGTGACATCCAGTGCATGGAGCTCAGAGATGTGGGCAGCAGTCGCAAGAGCCAGGAGGAAGAAGGTCTTAAACGTGACATGCTTGAAATCCTTCTCCGCCAGAGGTTCGTATTCCTTTGACATGAGATGGTTAAGACCAAGGAAAGGTCCAAGGCTGGTGGCCGGAACTTCCGGGATTGATCAGCAACTTTTTAAGATCTGAGGAGAGACGCGAGCTCAGGGAGAGTTGACACCTTCACACCAGTAGCCGGCGCAATAACTCTGTTAAGTGTTCCAGGTACGTATACAAGGTAGAACCCTTCAATTTCTTAGAAGGTCTAGGATGCTGGAGTTACTCCGCGACCATCTGCTGCGATGCTGTAGTGGGAGATACAATACCCTTTCGCCTTGCAGTACGCTTCAAAATTCTTCCATTTGTCATCATAGAGTGACCTGGTGGAAGTTCGGTGAGCCGTGGTAATCACCGTAGCGACTCGCTTAGAATATCCCTTTGCAGTTAGCAATTTATGTAAATACGCCAGGCGTGAAGATGGAGCGAGAGCGGACACCATGTAGCTGATCAGAGTAAGTGTGAACCAGAAGTTGGCGCGATCAGGTTAAGTGGTACTGGATTGGATCGGCCATGTCTTGCAGGTCTACGAACCAACTTCTGGCAGGCCAAA